TGTCCCGTTGCTGTAGTGACCACAGACTGTGTTTGGTGCATTGTGACTTTATTTTGTATTGACCTGTGCACATACTGATCAATAACTGTCAATAGCCAGGACTGTACTCAGAATCAATTGATTTAATTGGATATTTGATACACTTATTAATTGTATAGTAATTTGATCAATTTTCCAGCAACGCTTGTTATTTTTTTTCCGCAGCTTTGTTTTTGATCAGTTTCTGTAGTGTTCTGTTTGGTGTCGTTATTATCTGAACAAATTGTTTGGGTAATTTGTCTGTTTTACACTGTTACTGTGTAATGCAGGAGTGCATAATCCCAGTTGTACTGGTGTCTGCAGAGAGAGGCTTTCCAGAGGTTTCCATAGTGCACTGGCTGAGAAATGTAGAACAGCATTACAGTTTACCCAAAAATATGAAAATTATGGTAATAGTAAAATCTATATAAGACTATTATGATTTCATAAAACATACAAGTCACAGGCAATGTTGGACTTTGAAATAACTATGCAGTACTGAACATAAAAAGTTTATATATGCTCCAAACTGATCCAAAGGGGCCTTACCGGTTAGGATGGAAAGAATCAAAATGAAAGGTTTTTATGATAAAATTATTTTTGGGGGGAGAGCATGCATTTTGTTGAGCTGTAGTTTTATATTTCTGGATTCTAATTTATTACACTGTTTGATGTGGCACTTCAGTCTTTTGCTCCTTTGTTTCTGTACTTTGGTCCCTTTTACATCTTCTATCAGTGCATTTGTGGTGTTTCTTCCCTTTCCCCTTCACTGCTCCCCTCCTCCTCCTCCTCCTCCTCTGTTTTCTCTGAAAAATTCTGTCTTCGCTTCTCCTCTTCCCACCCTCCTCTCTCTACACTTCTAGCTCGTGTGTTGAGAGGTAAAGGGTATGTGGATGTAATGGTGGAAAAAAAAAGTGCCTCTTGCTTATTGGAGAACAGCCCTCAACTATAGGAATTCTGGGAGAATTGAGAGAAAAGAGGATATTTTTTAGTTTGAGGCAAATTCGATCCTCCACAAACCCCAACCTTCACCAAAGAGGAGAAAATGTGTAGCTGCTGTGAGACCGGTGTGTGGACGCGCCGTCACATGGCAGCACACATTATGAATAAAGGATACTGTTTCTATTTCTAGACAAATCTTTACGTAACAAATCCGTGCGGATACCTACCACTTTGTCCCTGCACCCGTCAGATACAAACTATCACCCAGAATTTCTATACTGCAAATGCCAGAGAGTGATGCATGACGGTGGTAGTGTTTGCTTGCCATGATCCGAGGCACACGAGCGCGGCACATAATCATAAGGTCACACACATAAACGCACATGGAGCTTTACGAACATGCACACACATGCATACGCCCAGACACGCGAGTATCCGGAATCACAGCTAAGGTTATTTCACTGTATTGAGTTGCATGATCCGGACACTGTGTGTGTGTGTATGTGTCAAAGCACCATGATTTGTTGCTGTTGAAAGACGAAGCTTTACAATTGTGAATGACGCCTTCTTGTTTGAGCTAACCGGGATGACATTGAAACAAAGACATGCTAGGAGCACCCTTAGGTGCAGTCCGCTGGCAGCCGTATGAAAGCAGTTTGAGTCGCGCCAACAGGAGTTTTGTTTGATGGGAGGAGCATGTTTGACCAGATGTAAAGATGAGACAGAAACATGGAACTGCAGTGCATTCTTAACTCTGCTCTCTAACATACTCTTCCTCCTTCTCTGTCCCTCCCTCCTTCTTTCTGTATCACCCCGTCTGCCCCCCCCCCCCCTCCTGAACTCTCCATGCTCTCACAGGTGACCTTTCAGAGTCCAGCCGAGGTGGAATCCCGGGGTTCACAGCGCTTTCAGACTGCCCGCTGCCTTTGTGCGTCCGGGGAGTGCAGCCAAACACACGGACACACACTCACATGAATACACATGCGCTCGTAAACGCTGAACCTCGAACGCTGCAAGGCTGATATACAAATGTACATAAAGTGCACAACCACACACACACACACACACACACACACACAAAATACACACGGTTCACACTGGTCAGTAATCTTACCCATACAGCCAAAAGTTTGGTTTGTCTGTGTGGAGTTTGACAACAGGGTGTTAAGTACAGTTAAGTCGACTCAGACAGGGCGTGTATGGAAGATACTGATGAAAAATGATGATATATCACATCTATAGACTTTAACATGTCTATTACATGACAAATATAGAGGGGCTGATGTTTCATAATAAAAAAAAAAGAAAGAAAATACAAAAAAAGATAAATTCGTAGGGTAGAGAGAGACTTTGGAGAAAATCCTAATGACTTGTAAATAATTTAGTTTACAAAGAGCAGCATTTAAAAAACAAGAAAAAAATGCAAAAAGAATACTACTTTAGATAAACACTGAACAGGACACAGCAACATTATTATTATTAATGTTATTATTATTATTATCATATTATTATTATTATTACCACTAGTAAAATCATCATCCTCATAAAGGGATATTACATTCCAAATTGTAAAATGGGAAATCACTAACCTATTTTAAATTTCTACTTAGATTTTAGGTAAAACTCGGGGGAGGGGGGGATTGCACTTTTATTCGGGAGGTTTTAATATTTGAGCTATTTTTTATTTATTTACTAATTTATCAATTATTTTGTTTATTGGGAGAAGGGGTTTAAGTGGGTTGCAATATTTTGATTTTAGAATTTTCTAGAAAAAAAACCTTTTGAGGGCCTGTTTCTGTCAGACTCTTGCAATCGAGTAATTATAATGTATGTATTAATTATTACAGCAATTATATTTATTTCTAATTTATTGAATCCTGTTTTTGATCCACTCTCTTTTTAAGTTAAAATAAAAAGTATCATACTACATGTCGCCATGTGATTTATTAGGTGCCTATGTGTTTGTCTGTGTGAAAAGAACATATTTTAATGGAACCCAAATCTTGTTTTGAATGAATGAATCTATACAAAATGCCACAGAAGTGAGAGTGTACATCCATCTTCTCACCAGAAGGGGGCAGAAGTAGAACGCCGGAGAAGAGACTGCGTTTTAACCCCAAATAAGTTCCGGACTTGTTATCTCCTGTATTCATTCATGGGAGTAGGCTACTTGTTTATCAGAATGAATAAACCCTGCATTTCTTTTATCTTTATGAGCATGCTCCCAGTACACTTCGTAGTTCAATTTACTCAAAGTGCTTAAGACAAATTGTAAATACCAATAGGATTATTTCTGAACTGGATGACCACATATCATATTTCTGCCCTGTTTTTACATTTTTTTTAATTGCTGTGTACTCAACGAACACACAGCGTGGCTTTGTTGCTGGATTCAATACATAATAATTAATGAATATAATTTTATGCAACATTAAAAGTAATTCAACCATATATGAATATAGATGAATGATGGTACTTAGCTAATGCGATAATAATACTAATAACTATCAGAATTTAACATTTATTTGTTTATTGATTTATTTTTAAGGGACAATGCACACCAATCAACAGTTAATTGAGCCAGAGTTAGTCAGGGAGGCTCATTTCAAATCTGCTGATGTTTTTAAGGCAGCCTAAAATAAAAGCAGTTCCTGAAGTTTATTAGTTCACATTGTGACATAGACGTTTTGGATTTTGACCTCTTGGTAGATGTCCTCTACAACAGATATATGACATGATGACATGATAATGTCAATTGAGGTTACGTTTCTTATTTCTTGAGACATTATGTGGCGATGCAGGGACCTATTTAATGACCAACTGTTCATAAACAAAAGCTGGTTAATATGTTAACTATAACTGGTTGGCTCCCTGAGTTTCTCATTACCTCCTTGACCTTATCCATCTGAACCCGTCGCATAAATGCTGTCACTTTCTCGGGTGAACTCTTCTTTTTGAAAATATTGGCAGACAAAATACCGCAAACCAAGAACAAACCTATCCCACTCCCAGTACAATCACCCAGAAGAACAGAAAAATGCATTTATTTAAAAAGAAGAAATGGGTGCCCTCATTGTGCCGTGCCAGACGTCATTATTCAGATTTATATAGACACACAAACACTATACATCTATATGTAAACACATCTGCATAAGCAGTCAACACATGGATTTGTTGATTTTCAATAATATTTGTCTAGACAAGCCATAAGTGTCATGTGACGTCTGATATATCTGATGTTGCATTTGGTTAGGCTCTTCTACGGGCACTGGGTCAGTCACACCTTGCGTGTCATTCTGTATGACAGTTTACCATGTCCCCCTCACAAGCTTTTTTTCATAGCTCATGGTGGGTCACAAAGACAGCACGATGGACTGTGGCTGAAAGAAGGGAAACTGCTGTGCAAACATTGCAAAGGGAAACATTTGGAATCTTTGTTTGTTTTAAAAGTTTAAAAAAGTGAGATTGAGTATATATTGTTTGAATGATAACCTTTTTATCCACGCAACTGTTCCCCAGGCACGAGATAATTTGATGTGATGTCACAGTGCATCACAGATACATGTGTCAGCCAGGGGGAGTTGAATCCCTAATTAAATTTGCAAACAAATAAAGTTCAACTGCCAAGTCAAAGACCCCCTCAAATTTAGCCAAGAAGAACAATTAGTTTTGTTATCCATTAACGTATAAAATAACAGAAAATAAAGTTTTGTGACCATACTACAGGGATCTGACAACAATCAACCCAGTGCCCTCAATGTCAGCCATGGATGTACTAGCCAACTGCTCCCATGTGCTGGAACATCACCTGCGTCCCTCCCCCTGCGTCACCCCGCGGCTCCTCCCCCCTCGCCATGCTCCTCCCTCTTCAATGTCGTTCCGCTACGGTTCCGCTCGTCCCTCGGTTATGGTCCTTCCTCTCCGTCACCCCCCTCCCCCTCCACTGTCATGCCCCTCCCTCTCCGTTATCCTTCCGCTCGTCCCTCGGTCATGCTGCTGTGTCCCAGCCTTTGGCCGACCTCAAACCCGAACGGACTCCGCTGACTTCCGCAAAAAAAGAAGAAGAGGAAATCTGACGTTAGACGTCCCAAGAGAAAACAGAGCGAGCGTTAGTTAGGCGGGGATGGGGTGGGGGGGACGACGACATCAGGGACTCGCACTGCAGTATCTCACACGTTCTCCCACCCGCACATAGTTCTATGTTTTTATCCTCCGTTAGAGACGCTATGACGAGGAAAAACGTAATGCCGCAAGCCATGGAAAGGTGAAATCTGAGCGGATCATAAACTTGGATCCAAACCGCTGGTTACACTCAACGGGACCGTTAGTTTTTTTTTTAGCTAGTTAGCTAGCTCGGTGGAACCTGGACGACTTATTGTGTGTGGGGGGAAAACAACAACATTTTTTCACGCTTCACGACGAGAAAGAAACACCCAAAGTAAGTAACGTTTCCGTTGAACTTTCATGTCGGGAGAGGAGACGTCATTCGTGTATCTTGGCGTTCACTGCGGGCGCGCGCTGCGCATCCTTTATACGTCATTGCGCATTCATCTTAATTTAACGTTAATAATCGGTCAATTCAATATAACACACGGGTCTCCGTGGTTGGTTAATGGCAAAGCCAATAAAATAATAATAACACAGTGTCGTAACTAACGTTATATGGAGGTTACAGTTACCATGGCAGCTGCTGTGTATGTTATGGAGACCTAATGGAGCCTGGCGCGTGTCCCCGTGCCCGGTCGTTTTTTTAAAGTTTGCTCACTAGCAGCAGATTATGTCACATTATCACCGTGACACACGATGCTCATCCAGCCGCCGGCGATACAACAACATCAACACGAGCCTACAGGCGGCGACGCTCCGGGGGAAGCCACGTGTAGAGCCTTTCTAAGGGAACTAGTTCATCAATGACTGTGATTTGTTTTCGTTTCCTTCTTCTACTTCACTTGTTCTTTTCCTACAGGAACATAACAGACTGTATGAGATTGACGTTATTTTATAGACTTAATTAATTATGGTCGGAATAGTGTTGTTTTGTTAAGCCAGATGGGATTTGTTTATAACACCATGAGCATTCGTTCTTACTCAAACTAATGCAAATCTATGGAAGGATAATAACCAAATATGTGTGCCCGAGTTGTCAGGCTTTGTGTCCAGGTCATACATGTAAATCCTTGGTTGAAGTCCAAGAAAGCCTGGAATTATTGCTGGAACAGTTAGTTAAATTAGTGGATATTTATAGTAGATTAATAGTCAATTGGAAGGTTGTTCTAGCTTCTCAATTTTGAGGATTTGCAGCTTTTCTCTGATATTTATATGTCACTGTAAATAGTATATTTTGGAGTTAGGGTCATAGTTTCATTGAACAATTCTCAAACATAATTGTTATGATGGACGTTATTGTTCCCCAGACTTCAACATACTTACTAACTAACTGTGATGTCAATTTGAAAAAACAGCTGAATAATTCACAAGGAAGAGAAACCCTCTTAGTGATGGAGGCTCTTTATCCAGGTAAAAAAAATCTGTCCGCTCCGCAAAACCCTGCAGGCCTTCGGACAAAGACACATTCTTTTGGCTTTAGTTTGTTTTATCCCTCTCTAATGTGTACAGAAAACCACTTCTACTACTTCTTCAGTTCTGCTCATTCACCGTGGTTACATGGATTCGAATAACTGGCTTAGTCGGACTGAAATTGAATTATCCGTTTCATGTAAACACTTTTGTCCGACTATGTGCGGTCCGACTACGATCCGACTAACACCCCTGGTTAACTCGATCCGATCCAGTTGATAGTTCGACTATTGCGGCATGTAACGGTGAATTGCACAAATAGTAGAGGGATGTAGCTTCACCTTGCTCTCCGTTCGCCATCTTTCTCGTAATGTTGATGTTGTTGTTGTTGGTAGTGGTGAAGCGGTCAAGCGGAAATGGCTGTATCACAACTAGTTGTAATGAAAACAGCGCCACCTATCGTATCGGATATGACATGCTTTCGGCCAATGATTCAATTTATTCACTGCCATGTATATTGGGATAATAGCACTTGCCCCGAAAAATTGCATAGTCCGACTAAGCAAAGATTCAAATTATACCATCATGTAAACACACTGATTGACTGATCGGTCATTGAGTTGAAGAGCGGAATCATTAGCGTTTAGAGCTCACATACAGTACACCCAGTGGCCGTCTGAATGCTCGGGGCAAAGTAACTCTATTTACAATTAAGATAAATCCACTCACAATCTAGGTCCTACCCGCGGTGAGGTTTTAAAGGGACCATTCTTGTGTTGATTCTCCAGGAGAATCAACATGACAATAGTTTAAGCTTCCCGGACAGGCTTATTCAAGTCAGTCCCTTGGTTGATTGAATCTCTCCGTTAATTATTCATGAGGTTCGCAGATCAGTGTCACATGCATTCAAGAGAACTTTCTTGTGATCTCTTTCTGTAACCGAGGAGGTCAAACACCGGCGGTCTGCTTACGGCACCAATTGCATCACCCAATTGCATTATATTATTTTTTCGTAATCTCATTTTTTTTTGCATAATCACTGTAGTTTGCCTTTTTGTACAAATGACCATGAACAGTTTTTCAGTCAAACCGGGGCCGAGAGGAACTTGTGCAATGAGAAGGATGTGCCTGACTCAGCTTGAAAGCGCATGAGCCGAGTTAAAGCTGATAGTTTGCAGAGAGCATGCCAACCCCTTGAACTAGGAATGTATTCAACAGTCTGTAGCCAGATTTATTCAGTGTAGAGAAGAGAAATCATGAAATATGCACTCTTGAGAACTGAGCAGAAGGTCATCTAAAATGAATCTGAATTAGCACCTGTGAAATCTTTACTTGGGGCTACATATTCATGTTAGTACTCATATCGAGTATTGATATCCTGTTCGTACAATATTTCAAATCCAATCCCAGCTCCTGTGAAGTTTAAGGCAGTGCAATAATTCAGGGCTGCTTATCTGTGTGACTCCTTTGGACTCTCTGTGTAATCAGCATGTCGTCCATGTGCTGCTATGTCCCTTACTTATCCAACTTTCTCGCTGGAGGTCCTGAGATCAGCTTTAAAAAAGTTGTGGTTTGAATTAGGCAGCTGCGAGTGAACCGCGTAAATATAGACAGATATGAGTATACGGGTGTGTCACAGAGATGGTATGTTCCGGGTGACTCACCGCTGCTGCCTCATGACTTTTCATCATGTCGTCTCGGTCTCCTGTTATTCCGATAAACTAATGATTTTTATAGAAAACCAGTCAGAGGGGGGAGCGCTCCCTTGGTACAGTCGCAGTGGGTTTACATTATTTAGATATTTCCTGGACTCCGTACCATGTTGCCGTCTGCTCCGTTGAGATTATTTAGACTTTATTTTGAAGAACTGCAACATGATCTTGTAAACCTCGGAAACGTACCAGTAACATCCGTAAGTTCAGCTTTGTGTTTACAATCACCTGTCTTCATAGTGAGGAAGAGAGAGGGGACAGCGAGAGAACGTCCCATCTCCCTGCCCCTGCCAGAGGCCTCCATTGGACCTTTGCAATGGTCCGGTCGGGTCATGTGATCCAGTGGGCCAATGGAATGTGTGGTTAGGAAAGCTGTGGGTGAGGGGGGGCTTAACATGCTGAAATCACTGGTTGATCTCAACTAGAAAGCCCAAAAATACGTTGTCAAACCCTAAATCGCCTCCGTGTGGCAGCAGGATTGAATTGAATGAGTTTTTCCCGACGAAAAAAGAAGCTCGTTCGGCGATCTGCCTTTTGTTTGGATCACACGGCTTCTTCTGAAGCACAAACAAGCTGCTCAGCCCTGCACAAGGTCCGCCAGGACACAACAGGGGAAGTGAGATGTAGTGCTACTGAAGTGCAAGGGTTGGCAAAATAACTGTGTCTACTAACTGTGGGGAGGGGGTTGGGGGCCGTCCTGTTGCAACAGGAAGCGGGACACATGGCATGGTGGGGAAAATACTCTGCACACTCAACCATGACATTGTCTAATGTTTTTTCTCTCTGATTGACTCAATAAACAGTTCATGTCAAACACAAAGAGCTGATCGGTAGAACTAATCAAGAGAGAAAACTAAAATTATGACATTAACAAAAAAGAGCTTTTTCCCCCACTTTTTTTGGGGACAGTTTGTGCGTAAAACCAATATCAGATTTCTTCTGAATCTGATCTAACTGGGTGCTTTGAAACCGCCCACCGAGTCCCAGTGGACAGAGTGAAACTTCTGTCTGTTATCATGCAAAAAATCGAAATGTCGCCAGTTAAGAACTCTTTCGCTTAAGCTCAAGTTGACGTGCGTCTGCCTGGGTTAACTTTTTTAAAACGCCTGTAAAGTTGAGGCAGTTTGAATACTTTGGTTTTCAGTCTGTTGGTCAGAAGAAAAACCAGAACTAATGAGGTTATTATTATTTATGTAAATAATTGTATTGTGTTGGAAAAGTACACTCAAGATAGAACAAAGGGTTTGAAAATAAATGTGAATGTAATGAGTAGCTCTGCTACTTTGTTTGAAAGTCCTAATCAAAGTTTTTAACCACGGCTGTAAAGGTTGAAGACCTTCTAGTTTAATTTCAGCTGCATGTTTTGAAGATAAAGTCGGGGGGGGGGGGTTATTGCCCATGGTGGGGAGCACAGGGTGGGGATGGGAGTGTAAGATAAGCGGTTACAGGACACGCTGCGCTGGGTGGAATGGAAGGAGAGGTGCGGGTGTCTCTCTCTTTCTGTGCCACTCCCCGAACTCAGCAGCGGAAATGTTCATCTCTGGTCTCTCTGAATAAATGACAAAATACTCGCAGCCGCTGGAAAGCAGTTCAGGAAAGGGCTGCTGTCGAAAAAGCACAGAGCTCAGTCCTGGGTCTGGTTTCTGCTCCCATCACGCGGGCCGCTGCATGTGCTCCAGTGAGAGGGAAACAATGGATCCATCATCTAATTCTCTCAACGCCGTGGTAGCAAACATCCCCAATCACAGATGTTTTCCCCTAAACACAGTCACACCTGCTGCCTCAAAGCCCCTAAAGAGCCAGCGGGTTTGGGTGTGAGGTGGAAGCGCGTGTTTTAGGGTGTGGATTCGGCCTCTTTGATTTGTGTTTGTTGGGTCTCGAGCCTTCAGCTGTCCAGCGTTGTGTCTCCTGTGTGGCAGGATGCTGTCGGGGGTGAGCGAGTGGTTCTGGCAGGAGCGCCTGTGGTTTCCCAAGGGCCTGGGCTGGGATGACCTGCGAGATCGGGATGGACGGGTTTACGCCAAAGCCCAGGACCTGTGGGTGGCGCTGCCCATCGCTCTTGTGTTCCTCATCATCCGTCAGATCTTTGAAAGGTTAGTTTGTTTGTTACGAATATCTGTGCCCCTCGTCAAAGTCTTTGCTTATCAATTCAAACATTCACTTATTCTGTATTTAAAAAATGTTCTGCCCTGTCTCTTGTATTTGTTCTTTGATTTCAGTTTTCTATCCATTATGACGCAAGTGACACATTTTGGGGGGACATTTTGCAGACATCACCTTACCCCTGATTTAAATAACTCATTGTCCATATGCTTATTTTATCTCAAATTTGTATTAGTTTTCTTACAAATTAAAAGGGTTTCCATGGTTGCACCCTGCAATCATTAAGTTCAGGAATCAGGAATTATTTATTGCCAAAATATGTCAAACATACAAGGAAGTTCTCTACCTTTCTGTGATTGCAGGACAGTTGCTACACCCCTGGCTTCTCTGCTTGGGGTAAAAGAGACTGTGCGGCTCAAAGTCCCTCACAACCCCACGCTGGATTCCTACTACTGCAACGTTAGCAAAAACCCCACACAGGTACGTGTTTCAACGCACCCATACCCACTTTTAAAAAGGAGGTAGTCTTGCGGTCAGGACATCTGAATCAACTCTCTTAATAATAATCTCTTTGTGCTGTTCTCAGACTTCAATAGCAAGTCTTTGCCAGCAGACCGGCTGTTCGGGGAGACAAGTGCAGCGATGGTTCAGGAGACGAAGGAACCAGGACAGGCCGAGTTTGCTCAAAAAGTTCAACGAGGCCAGGTAAGCACGCACCCACACACTCATTTTCAAAACATGTATGTCGATGGAGTTACGGAGCAAGTTGAAACAGCTGCTGACGCTTGCGTTCCTCCGGCCATGTGAGCACATTTCTGTGCCCGAGTAGTCCTCTATTTTTAACATGCAGTCATTACAATGCCCCTCTGCTGCTTCCATGCCTATTGCCCCGACACTTCTCACTCACACACGCACAAATCCATTCACCCGCACTCATTAGCAGAGGGCCTCTGCAAAAGGGGCTCTGTCCCCACTGTAGGTTATATTTATGTGTGAGTATTAACATGAGTTAAACCGACAGCATGATCGGCTGATAATACAAAGATAATGAGACAAGCTGGTGTGAGCTGGCAGGAATCACACCCTAGTAACAGATGACACTTAGAACATATGAGCAGTACTACAGATAACCATATTCGGGAAGAGGGCCGTGCACAGCAACAGATAGCATCCCACTGTTAACATCAGGCAGTGCATGGAGACAAACACTTTCATAGAGGATTAATTAATGCATATCCCACCCCAGGGGTTGTGCTTGATCTATAATCTCTCTGTAGGGATGTCACCGTCTTAAACATTAGTTTCATTATCATTATTCATGTGCAAATATTCATATTTGTAACTTACAGAGTCAGTTCACACAAAATAACAAGGAGACATGGTGAGCAGATTTCACAAAAACTAGAGGAATAGTCCCTGTTAAAATGATTCTTGACGCTGGAAAGAGCAGTTTATTAAAAAGAAAAAATCTCACCTACGGTTAACTCAGTAGCTGTTCAGGTGCGTTTTTACTCACTCATCAAATGATTTTACGCTTATCTGTTTCCTTAGTATTTGAACTTTGCCGCGCTGTTCACACGAGACCTTAAAGGGTTCTGAAACACCTGCGACATTGACATTTCCAACAACGCGGTGACTCCATTGGCAGCGGGGGTTTTTTGTTTGTCACCCCGTAAAAGTGTTGACAGTAATTCAAACAAATGGAGACACTGTACATGGAATTGTATCGAATGAACCCACTTTGTTGCATAAGAGGCCAGAATCTTCAAAAGTAACTTAAAACTTTTAAACCCTGAAATATCTGCCTGTCTGAAACAGACCAAAAAATATTTTGGTGAAGTGACTCTTTAATCTCCAAGAAGATGAATCGCGTCTCTGCTGCATATATGTGTGCGTGTGTGTAAATGGCGACATGAGCGCAGATGTTCTTCATATGATGAATGTGTGCATGTGACTGCATGTTGGTTGCTCCCCGGGTTTTGGAGTGTCTCTTCCTGTGCCTGACATTTCTCTTCTGAATCGATCTGTTGTTTGTGTGGACACAACAGGCTTTCTGTGACTCTTTCCCCGCTGGTGTCTCACTTACACTCTCTGTCTCTTCTTTCTCTGCGTTTGCTTCTCTCGTGCCCCGTTCGTCTCTACTGCCACGGTTCCCAAATGAAGTCCCCCCCCTTGACACCCCTGCTCGAGGCTGCGGCGGGAATGAGCCCCTCCGTTGGCTCTGAAACTGTCTGAGAGCGCTCATTGTGTGTCAGCACGTGTTTGTGTGTGTGCATCCTTGAAATTCCCAGTGCCATTCATAACATATTTTCCAGGCTTTTCAATCAGCCTTGCATTCCTTTCTGCCGTTTATTTGGTGTGTTTTCGATGTGTTTAAATGTTCCCATTGTTTTTTCTCCATTGACTGAGTAGGAAGTATGTTTGTATGTGTGTGTTCTCTTGCAGTTGGAGATTTACCTTTTACCTTCTTGCTTTCATTGCTGGCTTGGCCGCGCTCATCGATGTGAGTACTTCCACGTTAACCCCGCCCCCTCCCGTCTCTCTCTATTCCCATGCTCATCCGTCACCTGCCCCGCCATCGCATCATGACAGTCTCTGTAGTCTGTAGTCAACTCCTGCACCATCATTGCCGTGCTGGGATAGTAGATATAAATACACCTGTCGAGCTCTGATGTCTCATTTGGAACCGCATCTCTCCTTGCAGAAACCTTGGCTGTATGACCTGAAGGAGATGTGGCAAGATTTCCCCGTGCTGGTAAGTATCTCTGGGATGCCTACGTACACGGATTGCACCAGGCTAACTTAGGAAAACCCCAAAAAGAGAACCACAACTGTATGAACGCTAACTGACTTCTGACACTGTTCTTTGATTGGTATATCATATAATTGCATTCTCTGTGGTGTTAATTAAGAGAATTTTAATTAAATTAAAAACAAAAAGCACAAGACAGCCACCTAAAAAAGAGACACAACCAGATTTGAAATAATAATTAATAATAATAATAATAATTTACTTCTAATGTGTTCAATATTTCAGTGTATTTCCACATAAATGCAAGAATGAACCGGCTGGTCACCGTCTTTTGTAATAATCAACAAAATATCTTTACCACATTAAAGAACTGTGTCCTGTGTGTCAGCCTGTGCTCTAAATACGTATAAAGTCTCTCACTATTTTCTGATAATAATAATAATTAAACAGTGTAGATGTAATAAGCAATAATTATTGCAAACCTCTTTCCCAATGAATTTTTTAAAATGGTGTAATGATTTTGAGAGTAAAGCTGTATTTCCTCCTCCTCAGACTCTCCTGCCGTCTCAGTATTGGTACTACATGATTGAGCTGGGTTTCTACAGCGCTCTGCTCTTCAGTGTGGCTTCTGATGTGAAACGCAAAGTAAGTGAACTTATTTTTTGTTAAACAACACTGATCCATAAAATGAGGAAATAATACAAAGGTTTGTGTTCCACTTACTTACGGTAATGGCATTATGCGGGCGAGACAAAGACAAAGTTTGTTTACTATCGCAAATATCTTTGCTGACACCTGGCTGAACATTAGACTGTTGTTACACGTGTGCGTGTGTGTGTGTGTGTGTCAGAGAGAGCGTGTGCTTGGACTTGGTTCAGCCAGGGTCAGCTGAGAACAGCTTGCAAACAAGGCATAATGTGTTGCTGCAACAGTGTTAACCTAGATGCAACGTCAGCAGAATTTACCACGTCTCACACACACACACACACACACACACATACACGCACGCGCGCATCAAACATGTGCAACATAAATATTCATTTCCCCTTTCTCAGTATACCAACCATGTCTCCCGTTGCCCTCTCTGCAGGACTTCAAGGAGCAGATTGTTCACCATGTGGCCACCATCCTCCTCATCAGCTTCTCCTGGTGCGTTAACTACATCCGTGCTGGAACTCTCATCATGCTGGTGCACGACTCCTCCGATTACTTTCTCGAGGTAAATGCTGTTCATGCATTCATAGTATTTTAATCAGCACACAAGCAAACGTATCAATCGGGCCAGTATGAAAAATCATCCTCACTTCAAATGTTATGTTGTGTAAATTTCACTACATTCCAAGCTGCGACACGCTGCAACACGCTGCAACTTTTGTTCACACATAATTCACTGAGTGCAGTGAAACCCATTCGTACACAACAATGAGACATTGCCCCCTTGTGGAAGTAGCACGCTTTAGTTGGATGGAGGCCAACGGACATGTTCATTTATCAAACAACCAAATGACCTATTTATCTCCAACAGTACTGTTAAACACATTATTTTGTCTTTCTCCCTCAAACAGTCTGCCAAGATGTTCAACTATGCTGGGTGGCGAAATGCCTGTAACTACATCTTCATCGTATTTGCTGCAATCTTCATCATCACTCGACTGGTCATCTTCCCCTTCTGGTACACAACTGTCTTCAGGAATTTGTTATTGATTTTATTGTGATGTGCACCTGTATGTTATTTAAGTTACCACGTCCTCTCTATCTCTATTGCAGGATTATTTACTGTACTTGGGTTTACCCGGTGACCATCTATGAACCCTTCTTTGGCTACTACTTTTTCAACGGACTTTTGATGACCCTGCAGTGTCTCCATATCTTTTGGGCCGTCCTCATTATACGCATAGCAATCCGCTTCCTCACCCACAATGTAAGTAAAATCTTCAACATGTCCGAGCTCCCAGGTTCATCATACAGCATCGATTCAAAGATAAACAGACAGTAAATAAAGATATACCAGAAAAAATTTGATTTTAGAAAAGAAAAATATATATTTGAAATACCAAAACAAGAAGAATATATTTCATTCAAGCCATGAAAGAAATATAGAAATATCACAATCTCAACTGATGGGTGTTTTGTGGCTGTAACTGGATGTGATGAGTTGGTTTGAATGTTGGTTGTTGACGTGTTTTGTTGTACTTCAGGAAAAAGTGGACGATGAAAGGAGTGACAGAGATGAAACCGATGAATCAGAAGAGGGGGAGGAAGAGGAGGATACAAAGGAAATGAAGAAAAATGGGCCAGTGCAGAACGGTCACACGGTCCACAACAACAACCACAGCAAGACAGAGTGAAAACAAACAAGTGTCGGAAACGAACGAATGTGGGAAGGACTCATATCCCTCGGCAGGGGAGCTGGAGGGAGGGATGAAGAGGGAGAGAAAGTAGAAAGGATTATGGTTTAGGAAAGCGGAGGTTCATTCCCCTAAAGCCAAGAACAGCAGGCGTCCTGAGGAAATTTTACACTGTTACTTTTGCACAACAACAAAAAAACACACACCCATTTGTCATTTGAGAGGTCCGACATGAGTCACAATTCATTGGGTGGCATTGGCTTTTTAGCCTTTTCCTGAAAGAAAAATGTGTTGGAAATATATGATGTCCAGTTCAAAAATGTCAAAGAGACGGGAGAAAATGGAAGGGTGTGGGTGCTTCTTCTTAGCTTTCCTTGTTCTATGTGCCTTAGAGCCAACTAATGGCTGTTAAAATGCCATTTAAAAAGGAAGCTTTCTGCTTTAATCTTGTGTTGCTTTTATGTTTTCTTATAGAAGAACAAAACTGAGTGAAATTGAGTTTTCAGCAAATCGAGACAATAGGGCATTGAATTCCCTAATTTTAGTCTATGCAATTATGTAAGTGTCCATTTTTTGCAACGTCTTGCACAAACATACGGTATCTCTTAAATACTGTAACAGCGTGCAGTGGGACCCCAATGTGGCCTGTGCCATTTATAGAGAGACGTCTGAACGGCAAAGATTATCATTCTCAGTCCTTTGCTGTTCGATCAGTCTCAAATACCCATAAACAAGTGCTTGGCACAAAAAAAAAACTATGTAGTAAATACAATCCTCAGCTGCCTGCTAGGTTTTGACAGAGCTGAATGTTTTTCTTCTCTGGTTTGGCTGAAACTGTTCAAGTGGAGTCAAGACTCGCTGATGCTGCCACCGCCTGTAAACCAATGACCCTCAATATGATCATCGCGCAGGTGGGGTTGCTCTACTGGAATGGGATGGATTAACCATTTCAATATTTCATAAATTAGGGGCCAGATTTTTTGAATTCACTGCCTTGTAGCCCGGGTTATGTCTGTCAACCCGGGTTAGAATTTTAAATGTAGATCTAAGTGAGTGACTTTAGGTATGAGTGTGTTTATGAAACTGGTTTTGTAAGATATTGAAATCCTTTTCTTTCAGTTCAGTGTTTGACATGTGTGAGGATTCAAGAAACGAATGCTGCTGTTCTTTTATGCTTTAAAGTGGTTTGTATGTAAAGTGCCTTATATGTAAAGTATAGGAAGCTCTCCTGTCTTCACGGCCGCTCAGTTTCTTCCCTGTCTCCACCTCACAGATCTAACTGTAACACGGATATAACCTCCCTCCACTGTCGCATCCATCACTCACTCCTCTCCTGGAGAGATTACCTCCCTTTCAAACTCACCGTCATTCCATCACGTTGTTTTTTACTAACCCAGACCAACCAGCAACCTCTCCTCCCCAGCGATACAGAAGAAACAGCTGTGTCCTAATTACAGTGTTATTTTTTTCCTTTTTTTTTGTTTAACGATGCCGAAGAAGTGTTGCTGTTAATAATAAAAGCAGAGGTCGTAAATCACAATGAAAGCACCTTTTAACCATTGAGTCTGCAAACTTCAAGATTTTAACTTCCGATAAATAAATAAAAAATAAACATTAAATATGACTTTGTCCTTTGAGAGTCTTTTTACAGATTATAAAGACAGCAGCATGAAAAAGATCGTTAAGGACTCAGGGCTCTACAGTGTGAGTATTTCACTCGCATTCGCACCTAAAAATAAGTATGTGCAAACTTTACCGGAAAAAAAAAGTACCGAAAAGGAGATGGAGAGAAAGAGGAATCAGGTGAGGGCGATTTGAAAGATTCAACTAACAGGAGGTTTCTTCACGGTCACTACAACTGCCACGACTTCAACGTCCACTAGAGGCGGCAGAGGGAGAACATGTAGGCCTATAAAAGCAGCTGGCCAACCGATATCCTTTGCATTTAGGCGCAGGATATGCATGACATTTGTTTATTAAACAAATACAATACAAACATTTTCATACAGTAACTGTCAAACTGTAGCCTAAGTTTACATCAGGTAATACTGTCAAAGTACAAAGTTACATTGACAACGTGCCTAAACATTGACGACCTTGTTTGTGAACAATGACTCAATGTATGGCGGCAAATCACTGTCAAAATTCGAGAGCGCAAATCAGGTTGATGCGCCCGCGTAAATCAAACATCCGCGAGCAAATCTTCATCTCGCGCGAGCAAAAGTCCGTCTCGCGCGAGTTATTTGCTCCCTCGCGAAACGTGAACTTCCTCGCTCGCGAGGTTATCCTCTGCTCGCGCTCGAAGGTGTTTTCTACGCGCTCACTGTTTTTCTTTTTGACAGTAAGGGGGCGGAGCCAGGGACCATGGTCTCTACATCTGATTGGTTACAAACCCCGTCTTTGGATTGGCTGGAGTGATGCATTCACACAACTATAAGCCCATTTCCGCACTAAAGAAAGGGGATTGCTTTTGTTCTAACATTTGAAGCCTTATTTTGAGTGTGAAGAAGAAGAAGATTAACTTTAAATGAACATGCTTATTATAGGGAATTTTAGATTAAAATATGAATGTTTAAAAAAATGAAGACAACAAAAACCACGTACAAATAAACTGATTCAAACCATTTGGTGTCTACACAAGCGATTTTTGCAGCCTGTCAGTAACTCAAACTCTCGCTGTGATATTTTTCAACATCTGGGGACATTTCTGGGGACATTTCTACAGCTACATTGAAGATTTCCCGCAGTTTCGACAAACTCACTGATTCACGACCAACTGCGAGTTTTGTATTGATGGGACAGAAATCAGATTTTACCCTGATAATTATCGATGTTTGGGGTATTTCTAGCGCCTCTTAGTAGGTCATTTGATAAAACTCTAAAGGGATGTTCCAGGTGCTCCGGTGGACAAAACATTTCCTGTTCTGTGGCATTGCACCACCAGTTGATGCAAATAAATTCTGTGTGGTTGGTTGTACCAAAAGCACAAAATAAAAATAAAAGCGGCTTTCTGCGTCAACAAACATGTCCGGTTAGCAACCCACTGAGCTCAATTCAAACCAACTGCCAACTGTTATTGGCTGACATTTGGAACACGGATACCGGTGAAGCTGTGTATCGATCTCTGGATGCCATCGAGAACCTGAGAATACGATAAGTAACGTTACATAACGGCAACATCCACATTAGTTAGACAGCTGTGTTTTCCCTTCCTTGCTTCAACAGCTGTTGTAACTACATATAAGAAATGTCATTAGAAAGGGATGCTTGTTTTTGACAAATTAAACATCAAACCTGTCGGCTGGGTGTTGTTGTGATTGTTCAGTTGTTTGGCGCCTCACTGTTAAGAACACGTGCAACCCCCCATGTAACCAGAGGAAAAGGATAGGGAGCAGAACGTGTACAAAGACGTGAGTTCATCTCCATCATGTCTCCTTTAGGACAAGAGCAGAATTTAAGAGTTTCCCTTTTAATGTTTGTGTTCATATTACTGATTATGGAGTCAAACAAGTTGTGTTTTTATGTGGACACGTCCAGCTGTACGTACGTCACAAGGAGCACCTCAACAGTCTTGTTGGACAAGACTTTGAAATGGTAAGTTTGTCTGTCCACAGACATATTTGCTCTAAAATGAATCAAATATTAACATTAGATCAACTAAATGTTAAACAAGCTAATTAACACTTTTCATTGCGGTCTGTTTGGAAAAGGCTTTGTACTCTCTGTTGTCTCTCCATTAGCCTCCTGTAGGTATTCTGCAGTACAGTACATGATTTATGGAGAGATCAGTGAGAATAATTGCTGCCATCACTACCGCATATGTTTACTAGGAGCAAATCACGTCACCTCATTCTGTTAAATCATATTAATGTTTTCACTCAGAAGAGAAGACCGATCAGATCTCTCACATTGTAAATTACTTATTTAATATTATTGTACTTAAAATGAAAACCCATTCAAAAGCTGGAGTTGCTAGCACTAGCAGATACTTTTATGATGTAACACTTGATCCTTGGAGTCTATCTTCTTTTACCAACATGATAGCATATCATTGACTAGCTCTTTTTTAATTTTGAAAGGGAACTAATAAGCGATTTATCTTCCCCATAAATGTAGAATGTAGCACAAAATTGTAATGCCCATAAAAAAACTCAAAATTGGTGTCATAATACTGGAGATTTACAGAGATCTGCGTGTCCGGCCGCTGTCAGAGGGGCGGGGCCAAACACGGATTTCCCAACATGTTACGTCATTTGGCTTGCGTGACGTCCAATAGAAAGAAGAGAAAGGAAAACCGTGAGACAGCTTCTGCTCGGCTTGTCTAAGCGCCATCTTGAATAGAAAGTGGGATTTAAACCCAGAAAACCGAAAAGGGAGGATTTGGAGGAGTTAAACCGTGACTTTCGTCTGTGTTTTAAGCAATCTAGGGTCACACTGGAGCTGAAGTGGTCGTAGCTTTGGGCGTTTCTTGCTCAAAGCAAAGGCGAATTCGTGAGGGTATCGGCGAGGAACTTGTTAGCCTTTACCCAGCTAGCAAGGGGGAGGGGCAAGGGGGTTTGGAGATTTTTTTCCGCAGCCGAAGTTGTTTGTTTATGTTATTTCAAACGGATATGTCCTCTTCAAACCCAGGTAAAGTGCAATGAAACTCACTGTGATCATTTAGCTGCGTTGTATTCTACAATCGTTGATGAGTTACGGGCGTTTTCTCACGCATTGCTAAAGCGAACACTTTTCCTAAAGATAGCGTGACAGCACCAGCTAACGTTAAGTTAGCTTAGTAGCAAAGCTAACGTAATGCTATTGCTAACTTAGCTGGTTAATGCAGAAGTGTGAGCTGGCTAGCGAGCTAGCCAGCAACAGCAGCTACTTGCTGACTATTAAAACAATTCTTTTGACAGGTGCGATAATTCTGTAAGGCCCAATGAGTTCGGGTTAAATCAAAAAAAAAGTTTACCAAGACATTACCGTGTGTTTCTGTTTTTAGTTAACGTTAACGGTCTCACAAGATTCCTTTCTGTTCCGTCCTGCTGCATTTAGCCTTGACGTTAGCGCAGTGTTGCGGTCGCCTTTGCGCTCTGCGAGCCACAGAAACATTACTAGCGGTCGTCGGGCTGATGTAGAACATACCGGCTGCGAAATAAAGCCCAATGTCAGCTGCGTGTGGTGACGGTAATGACAATTTTGGCGTGTGTGTGTGTGTGCTGCAGTAATTGGATTAGTAAGTTTATATTTTTCAGTGCTCGAGTGCTCAATAGGAAATCAGCTGTCATCCCTGCATGTCGTCTCTCTGTGCCCCTGTGTTATTAATAGAGTTACCAGACCCAAATCTGGGTATGGGGGCGAGTGGCACCCAGGGAAGTGGCGGGGCTGTTGTACCGAAAGGGACCAACAAAAGAAGAGCTGCGTAAGTCTGCGTGGTAGTCGTGACCTTTTTAGTGGTGCTGTTTCCCTGTGGTGTAACTGTGTGCACTGGCTGACTGGTTAAGTGTAGTTTTGCCTTTCGGTCAAAATCCCTTTTGAGAATATTTCATTCTATCTGTGATGTGTGTCTATCTCTTCTTCTTATGACAGGCCAGACTTTGATGACGATGACGACGATGATGAGGGAAGCAAGTTGTTCAGGTCAATTGGTTTCAGATTTGTCTGTCGTAAAGCGTTAGGATCACCGGGGCTTCTGCGATGACAAGCAAGCGTTATCTCTCTGGTTTTTCTGCAGGTGTGACGATGAAACAGGAGGTGGCAATGACAAAGAGCGCTTTGCCAGGTAGGAGGGCGAGTTAAGAGATTGATACGGGTGTAGCGGAGCAATATTATGTGTACTAAAGCTAACCCTATGCTGCACTCCCTCTGCTTTTTTTTTTTCTTTTCTTTTTTTACTTTTTACTTGGGGCCCTGTGTTTTAGCGGGTTGGTTTCATTTCCAGGTTGGTTTCATTTCTAGGCTTTTGGATGAAGAGCAGACTTTTGCAGATAAGGAAGAACAAGCCGAGTATGGCCTGTGTCCCTGTAGAAAGGCTCCCTCGGCTGCTTGTATACATACAGATCAGTATTGAATGCTCTATTCAAATAGTATCTTGACCTGGTGGATCACCGGGACATAAGTCCATACAAGTTACCAGTGTGTTTCCCGCCTCTATGCGTTTGTTGGTGAGAGTGTCCTGCTTCTTCACCCCAGGCAATGTTTTATATGGCAGTAGCTGCTACACTGTGTAACTGGGGTACTTTCTTCACTTTGGTGATCCTTTCCCCTTGAGCAACTTTCCTCTCCGTCTCTTTTCTCCTCTCCCCTCTCAGGACATCAGAGTGGTCTTTCTCTCTCTGCACTTCTTGCTCTCTTTTGTCACCAACTGGGCTTCAAAGACCAGACTCTTGCTTTCATACTATTGTTTTTTTGTTGTTTATTTACAGATTGATTTTGAATTTTTGTGCAACCATTATGTCTCTCGCCATCTGTCATTCTCACTTCTTTCCTGGTTGGCTTACTTACATTGCAGCATTAACTCTAAATTCGACTCCATGTTGTCCACCTGCCCACCGGTTTCCCCCATCTCAATCCCTCCTATCCTTTCCACCTCTGCCTCCCGTTGTCATTTCCTCGCTTCAGGGAGAACCACAGTGAGATTGAGAGGCGAAGGCGGAACAAGATGACCGCGTACATCACAGAATTGTCAGACATGGTGCCCACCTGCAGTGCACTAGCAAGAAAGCCAGACAAACTAACTATCCTGCGAATGGCTGTGTCCCATATGAAGTCTCTAAGGGGAAGTGGCAACACCAACTCGGACGGGTCGTACAAACCCTCCTTTCTCACTGACCAGGTATGAGTATGAGAAATGTGGAAAATAGTAAAAATCTTAACTTGTTTACGGCTCAGAGGGCAACGGTTTTGGACAAGCTGTTACTGCTTGTTGAAGTCAGCAAAGTCCTTTTCAATAAACTGCTTTCACAGGCATCATGTTTTTTGTATGAAATCTGTTCAACTACTACTTCAAGTGAAAGTAGCACCTTCTTTAAGACTGCGAGTAAGTTTTGTCACACAATACTTACAGGGCACACACTGTTTCCACCAACTGTCTTTGACATTGAACCCTTAAAACCGCTATTTATTTTTACATCACCAGATTTACCCAGTTCACCGATCAACGGTGTATAACAAGGACCATTATTGGACTTAATTGAATAGTTAAATACTTGTGTGGGTTTAAAACAATGCTGATCACAGCCTGTCTTTCCCGCCCGCCACTATAGGAACTGAAGCACCTCATCCTGGAGGCGGCCGACGGTTTCCTGTTCGTGGTGTCATGCGAGACAGGCCGCATTGTTTACGTCTCAGACTCTCTGACACCCGTCCTCAACCAGGCACAGTCGGAATGGCTCGGCTCCTCCCTGTATGATCAGCTTCACCCGGATGACACAGAAAAGCTCAGAGAGCAGCTCTCCACCGCTGAGAATAACAACACGGGTACGCAGCTTTGTCAGACCCTAAATATGTATACAATAGTAGATTTATCATTGCTACTCATTCCCAAAGTGTCTTTGTTACGACAAAAAATTGGGCAACGGTTGCTCATTGCAACCTTGAATGTGTCTTTTCTTTTCTTTTTAACTTCAAAGGGAGGATGCTGGACTTGAAAACGGGAACAGTGAAGAAAGAAGGCCAGCAGTCGTCATCCAGAATGAGTATGGGAGCCCGTCGATCATTCATCTGCAGAATGAGGTGTGACTCGTACTACCCTTGGTTAACCAGTCAATGCTCAATATCAGCATATGTCCTGATACATAAATTGACCATGTTTTGGCCCGTGCGTGTTTGCAGGTGTGGCACTTGTCCCGTGGAACCGATGTCCATGAATAGACTGAACTTCCTGAGGAATAGAAACAGGTGACCCCAATCAAATGTTTTTTCCTCTTTTTTATTTTAAATGTTGGAATAGCTATACATAAGTAATCCCATCTGGAGTAGCCCAGTAGCAATATGATTGCACGTCAACAGAATTTTATTTCTGCCAATATTTAGGACTGATTATTTTTTTAAGTATATAGTGTAATTTCTTCCTTTTTTTTATCTCAGGAATGGTTTGGGTATTGCCAAGGAAGGAGAGCCCCAGTTTGTGGTGGTCCACTGTACAGGATACATCAAGTCCTGGCCCCCTTCAGGTAAAACTAGCCATTTTATCAGACTTAGCCATATACAGCTACCTGTGGCGTTTGTCCAATAAATGGCTTAAACCGTCAAATGATTTACGTGGGTTATTCTTTGTGGCCCATGTTGTGTATTTTAGGAGTATCGTTAACAGACGATGAAGCCGACAACAATCCGGGGAGTCGCTACTGTCTGGTTGCTATTGGGCGATTACAGGTAAGTTCATTTTGTGTGTGTGGGTGTGGGTGGGTGGGTGGGTGTTCTGAAATATATAGTATATAAGAGGTGTGTGTTGGTAATTTATATTTCTTACCAACTGTAATATTATTTGATCTATAAACCATCAACAACCCCTTTACTTGTGATTTGAAAGATAACTTCTCTACTCCAAGGTAATATCTTCTGTTCAGACTTTATGGTCTAATCTGAAGTAGATTTCGGTTGACATAAGCTCTTGTTATTGTGTTTGGAAATCATTTTTACAAGCAGTTGTAAAACATCCGTCGTTTTCAAACCTGTTGAGTAAGCACTCAAAACATAATTTGAATTGTATTTGTTTATCTATGACATATATGTGACATTGGGCTTTCATCCTCTACGGTATAATGGCTGTGCTTTTTTAGGTAACTTGTTGCCCGGGTGACACAGACATCAACAGTATTAGTGTTCCAGTGGAGTTCATCTCGCGCCACAACTGTCAGGGCATGTTCACCTTTGTGGACCACCGCTCCATGGCAGCTGTCGGCTATCAACCACAGGTAAGACTCTCGGCCCGACTGCATCCTCTAGCAACCTTTTTGCTAAAGTTATTAATACTTCTTTATAATCTGGTGTGTGTTGCAGGATTTATTGGGGAAGAACATTCTGGAGTTTGCCTTCCCTGAAGACCAGGGCTTACTAAGAGACAGCTTCCAACAGGTAAGGCAGTGCGAATGAGTTTGTACAACCACGTTGATCAGTTTTCTTCCACTTACAAGACTGAAAGAAAACATGACTACATATAGCAACTTCGGGGCCAGAATAACTGAATGAGTCTTGAAACTGAAGAGGCCTCCAAGTCTGAATGAGCCGCATCCTACAGTCTCCTGTGTGCATCGATTAAGAAAACAACAGACTGTGACCAGTCGGCGTGTCTTCATGCTGGATTTGTGCCCACAGGTGGTGAAGCTGAAGGGCCAAGTCCTGTCAGTGATGTTTCGGTTTCGCTCCAAATCGAGAGAATGGATCTGGATGAGAACCAGCTCCTTCACCTTCCAGAATCCCTTTTCAGAGGAGATTGAGTATATCATCTGTACCAATGTCAATGTCAAGTGAGTCACACACACACACACACACACACACAGTTTTTCGAATGCCGATTATGCAACAAGATTACACAATCAAATAGCCTATGTAACAAAACCTTTTTTTTTTTTTTTAAATGTGACTGTTGTGAAAGATCCCTCAGTCTGAATGCTAACCTTGCTCCCCCCATCCCCACTTCCTCTTGCGTCCTTACCAAAACCACTTTTAATACACCACACACTGATCGACCTCTCCCTACACCTCTCCTCTGTGCCCATCTCTGATTGTGGAGCAGTAGAAACTCAACTCAGGACTCCCTCCCACCCATCTCCTCCCCACTGGGTCTGCTGCCCCCCTCCCTGGGTCAGAGCAGTCCAACCTGCCCTCCTGTAATGCTCAGCCCTGGGCAGGTGGCCGCCAGGTGAGACTAGGCCTGGCCTGACTATCCTCCCCCCCTGCATGGGAGAACAGGGGCTGCTTCTTCACGGGAGACTCGCCTGTTTCTAGCCGACTGCAGTCCTCCTGTTTTTGTTTTCCTACTCGGGGTGATTCTTCGCTCCAGTCTCTTTGTAGCATTAGCAACATACTGCTGTTTTCTAATGAACGCATGTCTTGTAAGCCGCGACTATGGACTTTTAACACCGGAAGTGTAGCATGTTAGCAGTATGCGTTAGTATGACAGACTGTTGCTGTCACTTTCTTCCTCTTCTCTGCGCGTTTCCGACGTTGCCATGACTACCGGTGGCGGGTTCAGTGCTATTTTGTCAGCAGGTATTTTGAGCTTCTCACTCGACAGTGGGCGGGCATGGAAATGGAAATGAGGCCATTTCAAACCTTCTCTCTGTCCCTGTGTGTTTTCCCCCTTCAGGCAGTTGCAGCAGCAGCAGGCTGAGCTGGAGGGAACCGGAGACGGTCTCTATGAGGCAGGAGCGCTCGCCCTCGCACAGGTTTGGGGACGCATGAATGTACAGTTTAAGTGCGCTTTGATTGAAGCATTGATTACGGCCTCTTTCTCTTGTGTCCCTTTTCCCTTGCTGTAGTAACTGGTCAGGCTTTTTTTGTGGCAGGATGTTGATTGTTTGCTGTGCAGGAAAACCGAAGCGGATGTTGAGGGAGACACTTTGTCGTGACTGCCTGTTTATGCTTGAATTAAAAAGAACACTTTTCCTAAAAGGTCGTGCCACCCGTATGAGACTTGAGGGCTATTTTCCAAATAAATATATAGGATTTGTTTGCATGGTCAGCACTTATTGTGACCCAGTTCGTCACAATGTTGACTTAAGCTCTTCTTTTCCCTTCAGTATTCATGCGTGTCAGTATTTTCCTCGACACAGATCTGACAAAAAGGCAGATACAACAAAACGTCAGTTAAACTGCTAGGGAATTGGGCCTTCAACTGCTGCCTACCCCATTAGGACAAAGGTTGTTAATGTACACATTGTAAAGACAAATCTCTAGGCAACACACAACTCTACAAACTATTTTGGGCTTTCGAGTTACGTCACCCGCTGTCCTGATTTCAGCCTCCATCTGTTGATCAATGACAGAAAGAAAAAAACGGGATCCCTGACTGATGTTGTTCTTGCTGGTCCTCAGATGCCGGTGCAGCCGGTTGCCGCGGCAGGGCCCGACCACAGCAAGAGCCTCGAGAAGCCAGAGCTCTACCCCTCCCTGTTCCAAGGGCCAGATCAGACCAAGGGCCTGCCCTCCACCTCCACCCCGACCACACAGATCTACCCTCCAGCCAACAGCTTCGCTGCCGGTCGAACCGGCGATGCATACAGGTCAGAGTAGGTCTTCAGTGTACGTTTGTGCACGTGGCTCCAAAGTACACCAGATCATAAACTATAATTAATCTAATCGCTGTTCTACAAATGCTGATGAACATGCACATCCAAACATTGGTATCAGACTTATCTGATGGAGGGAAAATGTTTCTAATAGTTTTATTCTTCTGCTCGTGGGAGCCAAAGTCTCTCTGCATCAGCTCACGGCAGCGCAGAAAGATTTAGTCAATATTTTGCCTAGCTTGATCTAGTAGTCATCTGCTGTACTGTAGCCTGAGCAACGCCTCGCTGTCGTGAGCGAATTGACGCGATTATCTGACCAACCAACTGATTGGTGTGTCTGGAGGTTTTGCCTACCGGAGCAGAGCAGAGGGAACTTCTTTGTGTGATAATGTTTTGTGTGACGTAACTGCAGATGCAAAAAAACCCAACTGTTTCTTTAAATGTGGGTCAGCCACAAAAAGGTTTTGGGAGAATAAAGGCTTCCCTATGTCCATGTCGGTGCAGATGATTGATTCAAGGTTCATTCTGTTGTATTATTTCGCTGTAGATGACAGTCAAGTGACCGAGCTCTCACTCCCTCCTCTTTGGTCTGCAGGCCAGTCGCCATGGCTCAGCCGGCGCACTCGGCAGGGCTGATGTTGGCTCAGATGTCTCGTCAGAATGGAGCGCCGCAGCCCCTCGCCCCCTCCAGCACTGGCAGCCCCCTTCACGCAGGACCAGCGGGAGGTTGGCCCGCAGCTGTAGCTGGAGTCAGACCACAATTTAATAACCAGGTCATTATTTTAAGTCATTTAATTTACAAATTATACTTTCTGCATCACAATGCTTTTCTTTTTCTATTCCAAGTGATCATCCCTTGCTTACAGTCAATCCCAACTATCTACTAGTCAGTAAATGGAGTCGCTCAATTCAATTGCAAACCGCAGGTGGCCCCCCAAGCTGCAAAGACCATGGCTCCACAGTTTGCTCCCATGGGAGGATTCGGCGGTGGCTCTTCCAACGCCTTTGGCCAGATGCCTACAGGGGCTGCTCCCGCGCAAACCAGCAATGCCAGCTACCCACCCATTAACGCACATATCGGCCTCAACGGCAACGGCTACGGTAGGTTGTGTCCATAGTACGTCTGTGGACCTGCGTCGATGGGTTTTACTGGTGCGGGAGCTCATCCTGCTGTGCTTTATACCAGATGGTTCTCGGTCCGGGCAGTTCCCTTCTCGAGCAGCGGAGGCCGTGTGGCCCCAGTGGCAAGGCCAGCAGCACTCGCAGAGTAATGCAGAGCAGCGTCCGCACGGCCAGGGCAACCAGCAAGACATTTTTCCTGTGAGTGAATCAAGCCTTATATATATATATATATATATATATATATATGCATTATATTCTCCCACTGTGTCACTTAAAATAAATCTTTCAATCTGATTCAGGATGTGTTGTCGATGCTGGACCAGCCTGCCAACTTCAACGGCGATGACTTTGAGATTCCCATTTACCCGTCGTTTGACCAGTGACCCAGTCAATGTTCCTCAGCTGGTCCGCCCCTTTTTTGTACACTCGGATGTTTGTTTTTTGCCCTCACTTCCTTATATTCTATAGCTTTTCTGTTCCTCTTTTCTTCCCGCTCCTGAGAGTAGCACTCGTCCCTTGCTGTGCACTTCTTCAATTGCGCTGCCAAAAGCCAGGACATATCTGACTGCAGATATATAAGGGAGGAAAATCAAGGAAGACAATTGTTTTAACAATATTACAACCATTGTTAGAGAATTATCTGGCTAGCACCACCCAAAGCTCAATGTTGTAGATAAAATAAGTAAAAGCGCACAATTGCCCAACCACACTTGAATAATAACACTTCAACTTTGGTAAACATACACAGGAAGTAAAAGCACACACAATGGCCTTATTTTCTGAAATGTTCCTAATTTATCTCAGGCTTCGATGATTAGTAGATGGAGTAGACTAATCACTCCGATCTTTGATTTAAACTCTCAGGAATTTGCAGGGATGTACAGCTTTTGGTGATTTGTTTTCTTGTACTTCTCAGCTGTTGCGCACAAACCACCACAGTCTGTCCCGACCCCGCTCACAGTTTAAAATCCACAGCACGTCTCTGCATGTCAGCACCACTTTCATGGAGCGTTTCTACGATGTGTAGATTTGTTCTGAAAACAGTTTTTACATACATTGTTGTCTTCACCTATGCATTTACTTATTTTGATTATTACGATGTCCTCAAACAGACGCACAGTGTTAACGGTGGCCTCATGCTTTTTGTCTAGTTCCCTGTATGTATGAAATGTATTCTTCCTTGCCTTCATAAACATAGATACAGTATTGTGTGTATGTATGTACAATGGATGCTTGCAGTACAATTATTAATTACAACACAGTCCAAGGGTTTCTGACTTGCTTGATAGTCTTATTTTTCTTGCCATCCATTGCTCTGTTTCAAGTATGAGCTTTTTGTACTTCATTTTGTAAAGTAAATATATTTAAAATTACACAGCAATAATTAACTAGCAGGATTTAATTACTTTTAAGGCCATTTTTATTTGTCACACACCCCCTTGATTATGTTATTTTAAATGTGAGAGCTATGGTAGTAATGGTTGATTTATTGTTATTTTTAAACTTGATGATTTCTATCAGTCTTTCTGATTGGTAATTGTTTGATCAGGGTATTCAGGATTAGAATGGAACTAAGCTGAAAACATTACAATTCATTACTGAGAATGCCCTAAAAGTGTTCCCTTTGTTCTCTTTGTGACAAATGTTTTACTCCAATTATCTGTGTTTTACAATCATTTTTTGGTGACTTTGTACTGTAGAAGAATACGGTGAGATGAAACATATTGAGATTTATTAGATATTTGGAATTAGTTGGAATTTGGACCCTTTTGTTGCAATGTTCCATGTTCTGTGGGAAACACTTATGATTACAAATGGTGTAATTGTATGTAAACAATGTTGATAATTGTCCAGTTTTAATCTTCCAGAGGATGGTATGTTGGTGACTGTGTAATTGGTTGCTCTGTATCCAGGTTTTATTTTTCAATGATGTGAAGTCATAGGAACACAAATATATAAATATTCTGTATATGAAAAGTTAAATGAGAGAATGTTTTGTTTTTTTTGTATTAAATTGTTGAAAGTGAGAACGTTGGACTGTTTTGAGCTGCACTTCTCATCCATTGTGTCACAGCCGGGTTGCTCCACACACACGGCATCATTTAATCCTTAATTACAGTCATATATGTTCCCTGTGTTGCTCATAGCTGATTTAGCAGTCTGCTCTACTGCTCACTCTCATGCAAGAGTGGAGGCTGTCTTCAGTTACACCCCAGCATGTATTCACTTGATTCACTTAAAACAATAGTTTTATGGAAAGCGAATACATGCACGGAGGCAACTTTGCTTCAATTGAGATGTATCCAATTTCTTTCTCAATCGTAGATCAGTGAAGCTTTCAAAGATCTGTGTATCTCCTGGGATCAGTTTCTGCCTTCGCCCTGTCCACTCTTTCATAGCCCGGGGGAGAAAACGCGTGCCTTTAAGTCCACTACGGGTCTTAAGAAAGGTTTGTGTTGCCCTGTTCGGTTGCGCTTGAGTGACGTCTTGTGCAGTAAATCTTGTATTGCAAGAATCGTCTCGACACAGACGGGCTCTTCGCACAGGTTTTTGCATGGAGTCACTTTACCCGTAACTTGTTTATGTTGCTGTAGTGGCATCAAAATACAAGCAATCTGCATTTTTATTTGGTCAGGATCGGATTCCACCCCCCTCTTAAGTGGATTGCTACTAAGGCGTCATATCCTCTTTCTCTTCCTCAACCTTTTTAGTTTTCCTTTCTGCTACTTGTACTTCCTCAACTTCTGATTCGTAATCCTCTTTACCGATTGATGCAGTACAGACACAGCATCTTAATCCACACGCCACAATTGCTTTTTAAAAGCTTCAGATGATTTGTGTTCCAGAGAGATGCACGTGTGTTATCTCAGGAACGCCGTGGTTGTTACCAAACTCCTTTATTAACCATTCATGAGGGACACCGGTGCCAAGTGGAGCTCTGCGTGTCCACTCTGTGGGAGGACAGTAGGTGTCAATGTGGGGAGAAAAGAAAACGGACAAAGTACCGAAATGGATTGTCGAGTTCAAACAAAACTGAGTGAGAGATTGTATCTCCGTTTGAATCTGCGGCTGCCTGATGGGATTGTTTTCTAGCATCAACGACGGATCGGCTAGAACCCATTTCAATTATAGTATAGATCTTTTTTTTTTAATAATTGAAGCATTAGAGAAAGCACTTTGATTAAGTAGTTCCAACAAGAAGGAAGTAAACAGATGAGATAACGCCTGAGGAATCAATACTTTATATTGTCATCATGGACCCTCCCGCCGTCTCCGTGTCCAGGTTGGATCTGGATGTGGATCTTGGTTTTGCCCTCTTCTTCTTCTTCCTGCTCTGCTTCTTTTTGCTGGTGACCATTGTTCGCTGCGGTCAGATGGTGCTGGACCCGTACAGTAATATCTCTGTCGCCACGTACCAGGAGGCACAAACGGAGGAGTGATGGAGATACAAGTATTAGCCTACTGTAAGACCATGTGTTCAGACGCCTGTTGGGATTACAAGAACAAGCATCGAGCTAAAAAAGATTTCAGTCAGTTTCAGTTTCGAGCTAATTTAATCCAAAGTTTGTACAAAAGGTCTACCAGCGGCATCCAACCACTGAAAGTGATGTAAGTATACTATGTAAATTTCAAAATATACCTTAAATGCTATAATAAACATTGTTGCCTGCAGGTCCACATATTGAAAGATTGCTATATTGAAAATCTAAATAAAGTACACGTGTAGTGTTTTGTTTAGCTCTACTGGTAATTAAACATGTGCATTTAATCAGATGTTCAATTTCCATACTTTCACAAAAGAGAGGCTGCGACAACCAGCCGCATTCTCCTTGTTTCATTCCAACACACAAACAAGATTTCTTGACACGCGCTGGAGGGAGGCAGACTAAGCATAATTTAATCATCATAACCGGATGTTTTTTCTGAACACCGTATTGATAAAGACATCTTTCTCCACACTAATAGTGCACATATGTTTCTGGCTTTTTAACAATCTACATATAACGCAGAACAGGTGTTTTGCTCTTCGCCCCAAATTCTGACACAGAATGTGTGGGATATTTCACAAAAACTTTGCCTTGCAAATAACTTGTTATTGAACAAATTAGATGAAGTGTGTTGGTAATTCAAAAAGGGGATAGTCTTTCAGTAGGCTTTGCTCCTAGTAAGCATTCATGAATGAATCAGCAGACATTGCACCCCTCAAAGGGTGAGTACTGATTTACAGTAATGAAAACTAATGAACTGAAAAAATGTAAAAAAGTAAGCCAGTGATCTCTCCGAAACTCAACTTTTCCCCAGTTCCTCTGTCTTGAAAAAGTGACACTTTTATATTAAAATATGAATCATTATAAGCCGATAAATTGCTAATTAATTCGTGGACATACCTCACTTGACTGCATTTTTTCGAAATAGTTTAATTTGTAATTATGTAAGCCTTTTTACGTGTGTTAAAATAGGACAATCGAAAGATTACTGTCGCAATTGTTCAACGTAATTTCTTCTAAAAAAGCGCAAATCATGGATCAATAGTGTGGACCTTCTTTGAGTTAATATCATATAGCGGAGTTCCATGTTTTTAAATACCTGGATAACGCGCGTGGGCGGAGTTTTTGTCTCTCATTGAACCAAACAACGTGCTATCTCTCCGCCCCCTTCGGTTACCCTGGGATGCAATGCATGCACCTCCTATTGTGGCTAGCACTTAGCATTAGCTAGCTAACGTCACATTTACAAGCAGGCAGGATGGACATAGGCGATGGGTGAGTTTTTAGTGCTGTTTCTACATCATGTGTACCGCCCGTTGTGTTTGGGGCAACAATTCTAGAGGACACCATGCTGTTTTATTTTCAAAATACCTGCATCGATTAATGTTACTGAAGATATGACACTTTAGCCATGCTAGTGCTATGCTAACGGGCTAGCCTACTCTCACTTATAACAAGCTGCAGTTTGGTGTCTTTAGCTGGCCTGCCTTTAGGATTCAATTAAGAATCAGATAAAAGTGAATGTGGGTTGAATTTGCATCCGCGGGTTTATCGCGTGGTTTTTTTTGAACTGTCCCTTGTTGTGCTAACCAGAGACTGACGTTAGCAGGCAGTTATCTCTAGTCCCATTATGGTCCACGGTGACTTTTACACGTTGTTATTTTGAAGCCATATGCAAACACATTTGTACCAACGTCATCCCGCGATTGTTGTTCTGGTTGGTACATTTACCGTCTGAGTCTCTGTTCTTGGGTACCAAAGCTATAAATCGAAGCCAGGCAATCACAAGTGTGTAACGTCACACATGTGTCACCCCCTCCTCGGTAGATCTCAGTCTGCACTGGGGACTCCATCACACATGACCATGACGTGCTGTATCCTGACTCCTCACAAATCAGGGATGCAGCAACGTCTACGCAAATATGGCATTCAACTCGGGTTGAGTCCTCATTAGGATGCTAACATAAGGTTATTAAATAAATGAGTGAGAAATCAAGTTAACGTATGTGTAGGTGTTTCAAACGATGTTTCCATGTCGTCATTCTGTTTCCCCCCCCCCTGCTTAGAATGGAGGTGGATGGCTGGGATTCTAATATGGAGCAAGAGCTGGGCATTTCTTTGGACGAGCTGAAGAAGTGGATCGATGAAGCAGTGGAGAAGAGTGAGATTGTGCAGAAGAAAAAGGCTCAGCTGACGGAGCTCAAGGAATGGGTGGAGCAGAAAGAAGAAGAGGAGGCGAGGACAGACATGCTCCTCAGCGATGCCAACAAGTATGTCAAGTACTCTTTTCCCAAAGTGTGTTTTGTTTTTGTGTTATTTTTTTTACAGTTATGTGTAATAGTCTATAGGGGTTGAATACAGATACGGGTGTGAACATGTTAAAAAAACAAACAAATAAATTAGTTAACGACTGAAATAGTTTAGTAGTGATGCTCTGGACAGCATCAGAGCACATTGTCTTTTTGTCCTACACGCTCACGTTTTTTCTCCTCAGGTCCATATTGGAGTGTGAGAAGCTCGTGAAGGAAACTTACCAGAAGAACGGTCTCGTTTACAAAGAGAGCAGCTCGGAGGATGAGGGGGGCGGAGGAGGCGTGCTGTCCTCTGAGGTCATCGAGATAGACGACGATGACGACGATGATGTCATTGCTGTCGGCTGTTGTGAGTCCTGCTCCTTTCAGTTACATTTACATTGCTACTTCGACGTAAAAAGCAATCCGGTTGTTAAATATCTTCTGTTCTGCTGGTTTCAGTGGTTCCTGCAAAGAAGCCGGTCACTCCCTGCAAAGATCCAGTGGTGAGAACGACACAAACGATCCGTAGTAACGCCGTGTTCTCAATTTTGTGATGTGGGCCGTCTGATTGAGGGAAGTTAAGATGTGTTTATATTTATTTGTATTTCGGTTTCCCGAGCAAACCCCTATGGAGGTGTATCGCTGCTCAGTGAACGTTTATGTTGTTTATTTACCAGTTAAATGAGGCCTCCTCAGTGCTACAGAAAACAACCCAGCAGTTGCAGAAGTTGGTCCAACTTGTCAGCAAGCCGTCACCTGGTGCGCCGTTGCTTCGATCTCCGTCACATCCTCCATCTCAGTCAGGCGAGCAACATATGTTTCCTTCGGTGATGCATGGTACCTGTGGGTGGGGGGTGTATTTGATGCTAACTGTGTGTGTGTGTGTGTGTGTGTGTGTGTGTGTGTGTGTGTGTGTCTCTCCCTACCCTGCTTCTTGCTTCAGTGCCAGCAGTGTTTGTATCCCAGGCTCAGTCTCAGTCCATGACGCAGCCGAACCCAAACGCAACAGAAGATGAGCTTCGAGTCGGGATGATGATTTTGGGAAAGAAACGCACCAAGACCTGGCACAGGGGTGCCCTTGTTACTATCAGCCCAGTCGGTGCGTTTGCCAGTATTTTCTCAATTATTTGTCGTTGTACTTATTCTGTGCTTAAGATCCGTTCTCTTTAATGCAACACACCCTCTGTCTGTATTCAGGAAA